CCATTAGAAACAATATTATTTTTAAAGGATAAATCATCAGGTCAGGGAAATTCTAAGAAGTTATAAAAATATCAAGAGGCACTAGGTAGCTGTGTTAGTCTAGGTAAACTAGAGAAACAAATCCACAGAAACTCATATATGTATAAGAACGAGTTTTATATAAGGTAAGTGTACATTCAGAAAGCGTCCCAACCCAGTCCAGTCCAAGCCCGTAAGTCCGACTTATCCCATATGTCCAACACCTATCTACAAAGTCCTCCTTAAACTCAGAAAACACACAATGACACTGGATACAGGAGGATCATAGGCCAGTGGGTAGAAAGTCTTTGAATCCAGTGGTAGTGTAAACATCTCAGCGCTGGCAGGGGCCTCCACGCGATTTCTTCAGAACCCAGGGCTACATCAGGGTAGGTCCATGTGGCTTCTCCTCAGGGATGTCTCACAGGAAGTGAGCCTTGCCAGCTGAGGCAGGGACTGGCTTAGGCAGCTGCACCCTGGTCCGACCATCAGAGAGCAAGAGACCTGACAACTAGAAAGGTGAGGCTCACCAAGCCATTTATCTTGCTGCCCTTCTATTTATGCCAGGTTTATCAGCCAGGTTAGCACAATAAACCCTAACTATCTCAGTAGCTAAGAAACTTTTGATTATTTAATTTGATCACCAAGGAATATTGCTAGAAAGACTTTTGATGCGTTGTTAGGTAAAGTAATAAAGTCTAACATTATGCCAGTACTGCCTCATAGTGACTCCATTAAGACAGAGTAAAACTGCCTCTTTGGGTTTTTGAGACTGGAAACCTTTATGGGAGGAGACAACCTCATCTTACTTCCACAGGAAGACTGGTGGGTTTGAACCACTGACTTTGTGGTTGGCAGCTCTATGGGTAAACCACCAGTAAGGCTTCATCTCAAGGCATCTTAATAAGACTTTTTAGCCTTTGATAGCAAAAATAGAGTGAATTATCAACCATACACCACAAATTTCTATTTATCATATTTTAGTTCTTCCATCAATAACTATTTATAGGAATCATGCTTTTAAAAATAGTTGTATTGCCCTCTACACCATGTATCATACAATTTAACCATTCAACCATATTAAGAAGATTTGTGCAATTATCACCACAATCAGTTCAGAATATTTTCTTCTCATACTCACTGTTAGCTCTCCATTTCCCCCCTCCTCTGCCACGCCTCTAGTCAATTACCATTCCAGTTACTGCCTCTGTGGAACGAGTTCTCCTGGATTTCATATGGAAAATCATACACAACACACACAGAAGCAAACAAACAAAGAAACACACAAACCCAACAACAATGACTTGACAAAGCATAGAAAAAATATCAATAAAGGAGCTAATATTAAAAACTGAAACAACTTTAAAATGAGGCAAAAAGGAGATCACATGAGAAGATATTTTCCATTTTCTCTTGACTCTACCTGCCATAATTGACATGATGGTGTCTGATAGAAGGACTATTCACATCCCTGGACTGTGGTCTGAGGGAATTCACGGGAGGCTTAACCCTTCAAACAGCCTTCTGCAAACCAGGTGTTCATAATAAGCTCGGATACCATTCCCTCCTTCAGATTGGGACTTTATTATTTATAATCCTTGTATCCCATAGGCTGGTGTGCTTCTTTCATGTGGCCTTAGCTGACACCTCATGTAGATGGCTGCTTAGGATAAGCTTTAAAGACTCTAGACACTATTCTTTCTAATAGCTGAGCACCATCTGGTTTCTTCACCACACTTTGCTCTAGCACCGATATCTTCAGTGATCTCTTGGTAAGGGTGAGCACTGAACAGGGCCATGTCATAAGAACCAATTGTTCCTAGATTGGGGCTAGAATTAAGTGCTAGCCCCAAATCA